ATTGTTTTAGCAACTTTAAAAAATTATGGTTACTCTCAGCTCGCTACTCAATTTTCTAGTTTAAGGTTGCATTGTAGTATAAAAAATGAAGTGACAATCAACAAGTATAACATGAGATCAAAGACATGCATTATCATTTGGTGTAAAGAGCTAAATTAAATGTACATGAACCCCCACACTCCTACATTAAATGCAAGAAAAACTACAGAGATTAGCACATAATGGTAAAAAACTACTAATACAAACATAAAACACTAATCCACTATAAAAATCTCATATTCATCAATAATATGCTCCTACAAGTCACTTTCAGTTAGACCCTTTTTTTGAGCTAGAAGGGGGACATTTAAACACATAGATGAAGTGCATCTCCTTCAGATCGTATGGTAGGTAAATGATGTGTAGAAAGAATGCTTGATTTTCTTTATGTTTTTGCATATATTTATGGATGAAATTGCACTTTAAAAAACTGATATTTTATGTAATTTTTTTTGCAGGTATAAAAGGTATTATAAGTAAAGCGATGTGTAAAATAAATGGAGTGAAGCGGATGTGACTTTGAGTCATTGATCAACCAGGTGATTGGTGCCTTAGCGCTCACTTTCTTAGGCGTCAGGCTCAACCGGGGAGAAAGTGGTTGGAGCTTGTGGAGCCAAGACACCACTACTAATCGTCTTGGTGCCAAATTTTTTGGGCGCCTAGGCAACAGTGCCAAAACTGACAGACAGAGAGCCTAGGCGTTAACAGAGAGCCTAGACTAACGCCTAGGCCAGCCCATGAGGGTCTAAGCACCAAATATTGTCGGACCAATTTTTAGCAGTTCATTAAGTTGGAGCTTGTGGAGCCAAGACACCACTACTAATCGTCTTGGTGCCAAGGGCGCCTAGGCAACAGTGCCAAAACTGACAGACAGAGAGCCTAGACTAACGCCTAGGCCAGCCCATGAGCGTCTAAGCACCAAATATTGTCAGAACAATTTTAATCAGTTCGTTAACACGATATGGGGAGTTGTGTGACTTGATATATGGGTCATTTGGAGAAGGAATGCGTCTCTTTTCCTAGTGGTCACAGTCCCTAGCCACCGTTTGTATGTATGGTAAATTAGAGAGCATTTTGTGAGGGTTTGAGGAGTTTTTCAAGTGTAAAGTGAGAAAGGTTTGAGGAAATCAACAAGGGAATTTGGATATTCTTGAGGGAAGCATTCTTAACTTTTAAAGAGAGGGGAAAGCTAAGTATTGTATTTCAGTAAACACAATTTTATAATGGATTTACTTTTTTTCAGATGTTTTGTGGTGTTTTCTCTATGCTTTTTGAGCAGTCTTTTTACCTTTCTCTTGTGATGGTTGAGTGGGTTATGTAGGAACACCAAGTGATTTAACAATTTGTTTTAAATATTGAATGTGATAATAGCCTTTTAAATCTCATTTACTTTTCATTTTGACCAAGTTTCACGAGCAAAAAATTATAAAAAAATAACTATATAAAATAAGAGACAACAAAATGAATTCAAACACTAGTGTTATTATCATACCTCCATGATGCAATCCTGTTATAAAGAAGAATGGGTAGCAGTTGGGGAGTCATTGTGTTCTTCATTTGTTAAAGGTTCATTATGTTTCTTGTGATATAAAATAGTTAACTAGTTAATTCAATATTAATGTACTAGCAAGTCATATTTATAAGAAAGTAAAGTTTCATATGGTATATGTTCATGGCACATAATAAAATATAATATTTACTTTTAGCTCGCTTCTTTTTCTTTCAATGTCTCTTTAACCTAGCACTAAATATGCCATTTGGCCACATCTCTACTGGATCCTTTATTTTTGTGGTGCATTATTTCTTTTTGGTTTTTTTTTTCTGTTCGGGCTATTATTCAATGGAAGAGATTTTCGACTCAATATTGAGTCAACATCGACCTACATTTTTTTCAGAGACTCTAGCATATATATTTCAGCCTCTTCATTACCTTGGGCCTTTATGCTTATTTGATATGAATATTTATGGATGTGGGTTTGAAATATCACACCGCTTGAAGAACCATTCATCTGTTATAAATCTTTAAAATTTTTATAACCGTTTCCGAATTAAAATCACGCTTGACATATGAAGACCACCGAATTAGAAAATATTTATTTGATATCTTTGCTACATTTTCTTTGTTGATAATACTTATGCAGTTGCCACCTAATAATCTCATCAACTCGAATTTCTTGCAACTACAACTTATATTAAAAGTTGTTTTGTAAAAATTAACTATCAACTATTTATTTCTTCTTCTATCATCCAAAATTTTGATGTAATATTTCGAAGGACTTCTATTAGATTCTTCTAATACAAGCCCATCTACACTATGTAAAAATTCTTCATAAGAAAACAAGTATATCTTTCTTTAAATTTTCAAGTCCCAAAAAACAATCGGTGATAGAGTTTGTAGACTTTGAAATATTGTGACACACATTATTTGTCGACTCACTTTATTATTTGAAGAGGATTCCCAAGTAAAATAAATATTTATTAAATTTTGTTGACCACCTCTTTCTAATGCAGTACAAATCATGCAACCACACGTTATCTAGGAGGTTTTTTTTTAAACATCTTTGCTCATGTTTGTTCGAACTCTTCTTCTGAATCACATTTACTCATGCATGCATAAAAAAGATTGTTTATTACTCTATTACTAATGGAATAATGTACCTTTTAAAGAAATTTATTGAATATGATGATTCTTCCATGCTTCTTGTCATTGCTTGATCTGGTCACTAAAGATTGTAAATGAATATTTGTCATTATACGAATAAATGTCTTCAATAATCAATTGAAGGACTCGATATCTTCTTAGATAATAAGCCAACTCTGAAAAAAAACATTTTTTCAGTGGTGGTTTACCCCAACAAAAGAAGCACAACATAAAATTATATTGATTCAATCGACAACTTGTATAAAAATTTACGACATCCCCAAAGAAGTCATAATCAACCACTGACATGACATCACTTTAAAAAAAAATCCCATCAACCTGCATGATTCATCCGCCTGGAAATCCCATGCAAACTCTATCTTCAGCTTGTTTCTCTGTGAATATTTGAATTAAATCATCAGTGTCATCATTCACAATCTTGGTTCATCTTTTCTTTTAAAGAAAATTAAAAGCATTTTTTTTGGAAATTTCAATTTCTCAGCTCCACCAACTCCGATTGCAATAAATTTGAATGCATTAGTGGCTCCATTACTTGCTTCTATCATTGATTTGAGCACATCTCCATGAATGACACCGATGCTTTGACTATATCTTAAGAGATGATAGTCACTTGACCAGGCTAGGGAATTGTTATCGTTTTCTATAAAAATTTCAACATTCCAATTGCCATGAACATCAATGTCATATCACATGATAGCTGAACAACATGTCATTGTCTCTGCTCTTTTAAACTTCATTATGTTTTTGAGAGGTTGCTCCTTTTTAAATCTGGATTCACCACAAAAAATATCTTTGATTTTTTTTTCACTGAGTTTGATAAATAACTGGCATGATTCTTTTGAACAGTAAATCTAATATGGCGTGCAATACCACAATATAAATTATATGCATTATTTTCATTCTGCGCAATGATATCAAGCAATTTGACTACAATTGGATCATTATCCACATTCCTTGACACGCAAAACTGCGTACGTATACGTATTGTTCAATAAACTGCTACCAAAAAGGTCTAAAATAACACGAGTAAAAGCAAGCATACAATACAACAAAAAAAAACACTAGTAAACAACCCTAACGAAAAAAAAAATACCAATAAACAAAAAAAATCACCACGATACCACAATAATACCACGATAATATCATCATAATACCACCAGAATATTACCTTAATATTATTAGAATACTATCTAATATAACCTGAATAACACCATAATACCACCATAATATCAACATAATACCGTCATAATATCACAATAATACAATAATAATATCACAATAACATCACAATAATACCGCCATAATACCACCACAAAACTACTAGAAACTATCAGAATTCCACCACAAAACTTCAAAGGGTCCGTTGGGGGAAGTTTATTTGGTGCGGTGGCGCTTTGAAAACACACCTGACATGTTTGGGTAAATTGTGTTTTGGCAGCTTATGTGTTTTCAAAACGCTAAAAACAACACTGCACGTATCTTGCGGTGGCAGCTTTCTGATTGTGGTATGACTTTTTTAAAAAAATAAAAAATTGTAATAGCCACCGTACCTAATTTATCGACAGATTACTTTTAATTAGCTCATCAGTAGATTATTCAATAAGCTGGAGCTACGCGAAACAGACCTTAAATATGGGAAAAAATTTGCGTACATAAGATGTACGCAGAGCTGCGTACAAATGTAACCTGAAAATAGGTTACATGGAGGATATTTGGAGGTTATAAATGCGTTATAACCCCTGTAACCTCCCTATAACCTACCTGTAACATACTTGTACATTCTAGTAAGTTCTGCATTTTTTTTCATATATAGGTAGGTTACAGGGGCTATAAACGCAGCATCTAAATGTGTCGTATCTATATCCTAACATAAAAAACACGAACTTTAACCCAACTTCTCACTCAGGGTCTGTTTAGGGCAGCTCGTGCGTTTTAGGATAAACTGCTTATCCTGAAATGCGGCCCGCAGGCCGGCCGCAGGTGTCGACTCATCGACCTGCGACGACTTGCGTTTAGTGTAAAAACCCAAACGCAGTTTCAGATAAACTGATGAAACACGTGAACCAAACATTACGACAGAGTTTATAAGCAGCCCCAAACGGGAAAAAAATATTGCATATATACACCGTATGCAGAGATGCATGCGCCGTCCGATTCTGATCGCATGTCACGATAATTTAGGGTCGGCATGCAATCAAAATTTTTTCGAAAAAAAAATTAAATTGAGTCCATCAAAATATATTATGATTGTAAATTACCGTGAACTACACCAGCATTTATGCAATAATTTTTTCATAAGCTCAATTCCCCCAACCCGGTCACACCTGGTTATCAGCGGAAATACGCGAACCCTCAAATCCATTCCCGCTACCTTCCATCCCAAATCGGAAAGGTTCGAAGCGCGAAATGCGAACGAGAAACCAAGCTAAGCGTCATGAAGAATACACCAGCGGTTTGTCCTTTCTATTCCTTTTCTTCTTCCATTTTTTGACATTCAAAATATCTGCTAACGCTTCCGACTGCTGTTGTAATCTTCTAATGGAAAGGCACGGGCGTTTCAAAGGAGCAAGCGGGGCAGGGAGGCTTGGCTGGATCTCTCCATGGCGAAGGTTTGCCATTTCTTATATATTGCTTTCTGTTTTTTGAGCTCTGTGTTTACTGCAGCGAGAAATCCCGTACTGCTGTGGAGTTCTTATTTTGCTTTACAGGTTCTATCAGTGCCGTCTCAGAGGAGGCTGTGGGAAGGCTCCTTATGAGGGCGAACTCTCGGAAACTCGGGCGCCCTCGTTCAGAAAGTCATTATACTTCCTGGGAAGCTAGGGACAAGGTGAAGACCGCTTTTCTGGCTGTTTAGCTTCGGCTGATGAAAAAGTCTTAAGCGCGAGCTTTTATAATCTTTATTCTTGGCTTAATTTGTTTGTAAAAAAATGTTACTTTCTAGTTTTTGCATTGTTGAAGTTTGGTCTTTCACTTGTTAGGTGGGTATTCGTTTGGTTTCACGGTTGGAGCCATATAAATTCTACAGGGAGAAGGCCCTCATACCCACCCGCATGTGTCTAACCAATTTCAACCCATCCCTAAGTTTTATATACTGAAAAGATGTGATGTTGATCCTCTTCCTGTTCATATATCGAGCTATTATTTATGTGACATGACACAGAAGCCCACGTTGAAAATATGAAATCTGTTAATTTTTCACTCACGGTTCGTATGAAGCATTGCTTATTTATGTCGCTTTTTACCACCTCATATTTCCTTTGATGTTAATTTTACTTTTTAAAACCTAATTACGTCTTCACACAATATGAGTCATCCATTGAGTTAAAAATTAGTTTATGTTGTGATCATCATCATCATTAACTCTAATTAGATTATTTCTGTTGGGATTTACGAACATTTTCTAGTCATTCTTATTTCGTGTTGCATTAAGTGGTAAGCCTATTATCAGTGAATGTTATAAACAATTTTTATTTGTGTTATTTTGGCTCTACCTTTTTTCATATTAATCAACACTAACTTCATAAACCATTTAAATTGATGCATTTTCTATAATTCATCATATTTGTCTCAACAAACCGTTTAACATTATCATTCCTTATTTTATCTTTCAAAGTATTTGCACGTACTTATCATAACATTCTCTTTTTTGTTATACTCAACTTAGCTATATTTGAGTTTTTTCTGCCTAGCAGTCAACTCCATATGACATCATCAGCTTAATTGCCTTTTTACAGAATTTTCATTAAAAATTCATCATATTCTCTTATTGAATAATACTTTGGATACATCAATTTTGACCATCTAATCTTATAAATATAGAAACTATATTCTCATTCTTGTCTTTATTTTTATCTATATTCGATCCATCATAGTTAAACCTATTGCAACCATGTATAACTTTATTTTATAATAATATTGATGAATAATTGTCTTTATCACGTTATTGAAATTACATGTGATATAATTCAATTTTTATTTGTTCCATTTTAATAGATGCTTATTGATTCAAATTAAGTTATCTACAAAAAGCATACTCCAAGGCATCTAATTTTGAGTATGCTTTTTTAATTATCTTCATAAGTAATACAAAGGAAAAAATGTATGGACTTAATGTTGGTACGCACACACACAATCAAAATAATTTGAAATCAACTTATTTATTGAAGAAAATTCTTTGTATTGAAAATTTAAGTTTGCTGTCGAAATACTAATATGTTGTTTTTTTTTTGTTTGGCTAACTAGAGAAAGATGTTCTTCGTCCTGTCGAAACCTTGATTCTTATAGAACATTCATACTGATGTTTTCTTTTATTCTCCCCTTTAGCAAATCACTTGTTTTTTGTCTTAGTCGTTTGAAGCATTTGTGTTTTCTTTCATTATTTAGTCCGTGCAACAATTGGCTATGCTTTAACCTTGTTGAATGGAGATTTGCAATCTTTGTGGACACTTTTGTGGACTTCACTGAATTTTGAAATCTTACAAAGCAAATTTGATTATTTATTTCTTTTATTAGTGGCACTTGAAGTCTCTCGAATGGTAATTTATAATAGTTTATCTTATACATGACATAGTAGCAGTGTAATTACTGCTGTCTAAAAGTGATGTAGTGGCGCAATCAATATATGTCTTCTGTAGAAGTTGTTATTGCAGGTTTTGGATATAAATTTGACCTCACACTCATTTTCTTCATTTAATTAATGAGAAAAACTTTTGGTTTTTCTTTTCACAGATGGCAGAATTGGGTAATGGTAAAAGAAAGGCTGATGAGGAGCTTACACCTTTGTCCAGTGTATTGGATACTACTGATGATGCAGAGGATACCATTTTGATGAAAGAAAAACATTTTGAGAAAAATGTTCATTATGATGCAAATGAATTGGATTGGGAAGAGGGAATGATTCCTCCTTCTGAATCAGGAAATGGATATTCTCATGAACTCGGAAAGGAGGTCACTATTGAATTCTCTGAGTCACCTTCTACTAAACAGAGGCCTTCTCGGAGGTTTTCTGTTGAAGATAAGGTTTGTTACAATGGTTAATTTTGTTTTTATTTATGTATTTACATAAAAGGAGAATCCTTAATGACATTGTTTTACTAGGAATTAGCCGAAATTGTGCACAAGGTTCATCTGCTGTGTCTAATTGCTCGTTGTAGGTTGGTTGACAGTGCCTGCAATGATCGTCTTATTCAGGTTCTTTCTGACATAATGCTGTGTTCTTCCATTCCTCGATTTATCTTACTTGTCCACTTTAAGTTTCACTTTGACATTCTTGTCTTACCTTACAGTCACTATAACTTTACTGAAGCAATTTGCAGTTATTTCTTTTTTCTTAAGACTTTATTCTTTATATTTCATTGAGTTTTGGGAATGCATCAATATTTGTACTAATCCAAAAATTAGAATGCATCATTGGGCAAATTTTAACTAGATTTCATATGCACATTTACCGCAATGCTTAAATTAATTATGATATGGTTTCTTAATTTTTTTCCCGAAACAACAACAATTCACAAAAAAATGTCCAGAAAAATTGGTGGAACCTAATCGGGCAACTGCTCTCTTTCATGCTTATTATATGCATTGGATTCCTTGTAGCATCAGCTTATTGGCACATACTTTAAATATTACCATCTGTTTTCCTTTTTTTTCTTACAACATTGTTCTGTTGAGTAGTCTAATTATTATATTATATTCCAGATGTAATAAATATGTGTTTTTTCAAATTATTACAAACTTAATTTTAATGTTTAATTGTTAATCTCAGAACATTTACTAAGGGGGGCTTTGAATATTAGTTTGACAAGTCTGGGTTAGGTTTTTTCTTCTAGTAACAATTTGACCTCTTACTCTATTGTCATTTAAGGCATCAAACTACTTACAGCGTTGCTATTTAGTCTTTTGTGGTTTTGTTCTACAATTTTGGGGCTTGAGTTGTAAGGAGTCAGTTTATTATTATTATTTTTTTAATATTTATTGTTCTTTTAAGTTTTTATTATATTCATTCCCCTGTAATCTAAGGATTTAATATCTCACAGTAATTCACAAGACTTGGGATACAAATGAGGGAAGATAGAGAGAGGGATTTGTGTGGAATAATGGGGGTTATTTTGGATATCTAATAAAGCTGATATATGAAGAGGAACTTATAGTTATGCTGGTTCTATTTTTTCGCTTTTAACATCAAATAGCGCATAGGTCATCATATATTTTCATTGAGACATATTTGGTGGAGCTAAGTTGCCTTTAATTATGATCGTGCACATGAAATTCTTGTTTATCTAACATAGACTAAACACTAAAATTCCTATCTCAATTTTGTGGTGTTTAGATTTCAAATTTTTCGCAACGGAGTAGCCTTATCATTATTTTGAAATAATGATGAAAAATTGGGCCTCAGTGTTTTTAGAGAAAAAAATGCACATTTATAGTAAATTACAAAAAATCACGGTTATTCTTGACAACCTTGTAATTGTCCCAGCTATTTTTAGTTGTCTTTATAAATTCTTATTTTTCATTCGTTACTATTGAGCAATACTTGAATTCTTGAACTTTTTCCTCTCAAATTATTTGAATGACTTCGATTCATGCTATCTTATGTGTACATCTTTTTGTTCCCAGAAAGTTGACACTAATTTTATCAACGGGTTAATTGTTCATTTTCTACCCATAATTTTACATGCCTAAACCACTTTTTTTGCTATTATTTTCAATAAATATAACTCCAATTTTTTCTTTCATATCTTTCCACAGTTTACCATTCTTAGTTTTGTCATCCATCCATCTTAAAATTTCATTTTTGCATCACGTAACTTGGCTATCAAAATTTTCTTACCACCCAACACTCAAGTTTATTTCAAATTGTCGACATTATTGCAATTTTAAAAATTCAGTTATAAGCCTTCATGATTTTCTATTAGCACTAAATACTCTTGAGACAATTTGCATTGTAACCACCCATTATTTACTCTAGAAATTTTAGCCTCTTTTAGTCCATTTAATGCAGTCATGCCTACCTCATTTCCTTGTCAAGAGTATAATTTTAGTATCTTTTGATACATAATGTTGCCCTTCTTATTTGTTAATAAGTTAATTATCAATGGTTAAATTTTATTTGGTATAACTTATTTTTTATATTTATATAGAGATTGTTTTGCTTTTCTATAAATGGTGACCTGCTTATAATTGGTCAAGTTGAAGATCAGATAAAAAAAATTCTATCGTTTTGGCAATCTCTTTGACGATAGTTTCTCCCTTTTAAGATTCCTTTCTGCTTTATTCCTTCCCACCTTTTTCCTCAATGCTTTTGAGGCTTTTGTACATCTGATTTTCTCAGTCTCTGTAATACCTCTACCTACCAACTCTTATGACTGATTCTTCTCTTCCCAACAATCAGAATTTGAAAAAAATAAACCATGATCTTTTCTTTTTGCCTCTCTTGCCCCCATTTCTAGTTGAGGGTGTCTTTTTTATCATCTTGTGCACATCTAACTGCATCCCGACTATGCTACTTGCACTCGCCCAAACTCACAACTCCTAAACCTTTTTGCAACTTCTTCCACAAGTTCTTGAGATACATATAGCCTTTGTATCATTAACCTTACTCATTGGTTTTCCTCCTGTTGGATTTCCCATTCGCCATTTCTTTTTTGGATATATTTTTTATTCATTTTTATTGTCGAATGTTGATTTCATTAGCTTTGCAGTTTAGTTGAGGATCCAAAGTTCTTCATTTTAGTACAGTCCAGCTATCCAGAGTAGAGAATGCTATCAAGGGGAATGATGCAATGCAAGTCTATCTCTGTTCTTTCCGCAGGGTCTACGGGGGCTAAACCGGCTCAACCCGGTTCAGCTAGTGGTCTGGGTTTTCCCCCCTTCTTTTCTGTTTTCCTGCCTATATGTCTATTATAAATAGGTGTGTTAGCTGAATTAGGGTTAAATTATTGTGAGTTTATTTTATGTTTTGTTTGGACAGCCGCCAGTCCTCTTCTCCCTTTCTAGGGCTGTTTCCGATGGTTAGGGTGCTCCGTCTATATCCCTCTCCCCGGTGGTGATTTATCTTCTCTGACGTCCGCCTCCACCTCCTCTCCTTGCTGCTTGCTGATTTTCCCTGCACTCCCATTCCCAAGGTGGCTGCCATAACCCTCGCCAACTTCCAAATCTGCTGCATAACCAGTCCAAACTCCCAAAAGTGCTGCCGTGACCCTCTCCCACTCCCAAGGCTGATGTCGTAACCCTCTCCCACTCCCAAAGCCGCTACTGTAACCTCCACCACTCTCAAATCTGCTGCCGTAACACTCCCCCGTTCCCATGGTGGCTGCCATAACCCTCCCCAACTCCCAGATCCGCTGCCATAACCAGTACTAACTCCCAGATCTGCTGCCGTAACGCTCTCCCCCTCCAAGGCTGCTGCCGTAAACCTCCCCCGTTCCCAAGTGGCTACTTTAACCAGCCCTAACTTCCAAATCTACTGTCTTGACCCACTCCCACTTCCGGACTACTGCTGTAACCTTCTCTTACTCCCAAAGCTGCTAATGTAACCCTCTCCAACTCCCAAACCTGCTGCCATCACCCCCATTTCTGTTGTACAGCAACCCCTTCCAGCACCATCTATAGCTGCTGCAAGCCCAGCCAACCACGCCCCTTGCTGTTCAGCCGGTGTTTGCTGCCTTCGCTTCGCCTTTGCCCTAGGGTATCTTTTATGTTTGTGTCATTATTTTTCTAATGTCAAGAACCCTTGTTTGTAACCCTTTTGAATTTCAACAATAATATTCACATTTCTATTATGGTTTGGGTTTCCTCCAGTATTAGTTCTTAGTTTTGAGTTTGTATTTTCTAGCATTCATTTAATCTTGTTGCCATCCTTATTAAATTAATCAGTAATAAACGTTGTTCGAGATTTAGACTATTTCACTATTTTTATCTTTGTCTAGGGATAATTTTACCAATTTTTGCTGTATGGCTTTTTCATAAATATTATCTTATAAGTTAGATATGTAATAAGGAAAAGGCTTTTCTTTTGACACCTTTGGGGACAAATTTCTCTCCTGGAATTTCTTCATGCTTTCTTCCTCTTGATTTAATGCTTCTTTTTCTTTGAGTTAGCTCTTTCAACCTTTTTCTCTTCATGTCCTCGATTTACCTCTTATATATTTTTCTTTTACAGTCAAAATATCTAAAAAAAGAAAATCATATATGTATTTTTCCCTTCTCAACAATCTAACTGTTTATGTAAGGACTTGATGTTGATATATCCTGTTTAAATTCTTTATTTTTTTATAAATATTTTTATTGTAGTTATGGTTTTATCATAAATATCTTAAATAGCTTTAGCATACTTATTGGCGCTCTACTTTGTTATTTAATGTGCACTAAAACAATTCTCCTTGCACTCGATTGAATGGTGAAACAACATGATTATCATTCTCTTACACTTTTTAGTTTAACATTAATTATTTTTGCATAAAATTTTTTCTTGCATGAAACCAAATTGATTCTTCAAAAATTGACATAATTTTGTTTCAATTGCTTTCTCTCATGTCATCCTTATACTACTCATAAATTTGATTCCTCTGTAATTAATATAATTTTGAGCATTTTATTTGTTCGTAAAAATTAATATTAATATTCTTCTTCTCATGTCATTTGGCTCCTCTTATTATTAAAAAACAAATTATTAACCCAATCACTACAGTATTCCCTCGTAATTCTTGCAGTTGTAATAGTTATCATCTGACTAAAGCTTTGCTATTATAGATTTTCTTAGATCCAACTCTACTTCAGTAGGATCAATTAATAATAATCTCATTATTTTAGTCATTATGCTCTTCCAAAATAATTTTGTTCTTAAGACTATGTTTTATAATATCTCAAAGTAGCATTTTATCTTTACTTGATGTCTTCATATTTAAATGAGATCCAAAAAACTTCACTTTTAATGCATTTAAATCAATAAAATTTCAAACTCTCTTATATCTCGCATTAGCTATTTTTACATGCCCCGTTGCCTTTTTTCCTAGTTTCAAGTCTATATCTTCAAAAACTATAACCTTTGTTTTGTCCACTGCTTTTGTTTGCCAGATTTCGAGCATTCTTAGAATCATTATAAGTTTCAATAACATTTAATGTGTCACTTTTTTTTTTTAAAAAAATATTTAGGGTCCATTTGTGGTTGACCCAACTAGTAAATTAATTGTAGAATTGCCACAGTCAATGCAAAACTTTTAAAACCTGTCAGTACGTATTATAAAATTTTCTTTTAAAAAATATGGATAATTTTCTTACAATTATAATAATCTAATAAATATGGTTATAAAAATTTTTTCTCCCACATAAATTTATGAAAGTAATAAGAAAATTATAGCCATGCAAAGTTGTGGTGGTTATTTGGAAGGCAAAGCTGTGAAAAAGAAAATAAAAATAATATAAAATAAAATAAAAGCTGCGAAATGCTACTCAAATTGACCCATATTCTTAATAACTATTTCTATCTCTTAATTATATCTCCTCATTAATGTATGATATGTTCTTTACATTTATAACATTATTTGTTTTCTTATCTAATATCTGTATATCATTGATAGCTTTCTAAATTTATGTGTGCTTCTGTGCACACATCAATGTTTATATAGTCCCAAAATCATCCTTTTTTTCTTACTGTCAATGTCTTAAAAATAGATGGATTGCATCATTGGCAGACTTACAAGTTCCATAACTTGTTACAGGCTTCATTGCTTTCGCTTCTACCATTGAACTTGTTGGAAAAAGTAGAAGTTTCACGATTTACTGCTAATGAGTTGAAGCCTCTTGTAGATTGGGTACTTTCCTGCTATTGGGCTTTGCAAATGCATTTTAACTTGATTTGGGTGTTTTTCTTTTATAGTATAGCTTTTTTTTTTTATGTATATGAAACTCTAACTTTTATGCTCATTCACTTAACATGTGGCTGCTTCTTACAGTTCCATTATAATTTTCGTCTTAAAAGTGAAAGTGTTGACCGGGGATGCTTTAAATCAAATCTTGCGTCTGCCTTGGAGACTCATGAGGGGACAAGTGAAGAGGTTTCAAAAAAGTTCTTTCCCATTGTTGACCTCTTTTTTGATTATTCTATTTATTTGAATATGCATAATTTTTGTAATTATTGCACAATATTATCATGGTTCCATGTGTTTTATGTAAAATAAGAATGCTTGAATGAGTTGCCCAAGGTTCACCCTAGCAGGCTCCATTTCATGAGACACCTTTTCTTTTACCATATTTAGTAGGTTATTGATAGGATCTGACACAAATTTCTTACAGAAATTATGACAACAGATAATTTATTTCGCAAATCAAACAACACAATCGAAATACATAAACATAAGCATCTACAATTCTAGAGATAGGCGATCTCTCCCAATTCCTATAGTTCGAAAGGTAGAAAATCTATCCCAAACCCTAAACTTTGACTCTAGATAATCTCGTGCATAATTCTAATCCTAGGCTAATGGGGGTCTATTTATACCAAACAATAATAAATAACAAAATATCAAATTGCTCTTAGGCACACAATAGATTAAATTGCTCTTAGGCTAGGCACCCACATAATAGTTCTTCCCTCCCAAAAAGACAAATTGTCCTCATGGTAGAAAAAATTGTTGTTGGATCAAATCATATGGTTCCCACGATCTGTCATCGTCTAGCAATCCGTTCCATTTAATAAAAAATTTGTATTGACCCTCAGGAATTCAAAATGTTGTTTTGAGTTCCTTTGGCTGCATCCTAATCGGATGGTGTCCAGACTTCCAGTCAATCTTAAAGAATATCGCAACTCCAAATAACTCATCTCGTAGCCAATTGATCATTAGAATCTTTGTGAATTCCGCACCATATTTTTCTTCCATCTCTATCAATTTTATTTCATCTCTGTCAACATCAATCCTGCTTACTTCCGTTTGTTCAAATCATCTGAATGTCGTGCTATTTCTTCCAAGTTTTGCCTCTTTAGTTCGTTCCTGATTCCTTCGCTTGATCCCATGGTTCCAGATCTGCCTAAAGAAGAGAGGCTACCTTGATGTCATACAAATCCTTCAAATTGTTGTTGCTCGCGTCCATTCTTGACGCCATAGCTAGACCCCACTGCGGGAGGAACCAATTTTGTGTAAAACTCCATTATCTTGTTTGTTATATCTTCCAATGTTGTAAATCTTCGCACAAATCGACCCTCCACAGATGGAAAACGCTCCTCCATTATCAAGAAACGGTCGTCTATATCATATTTTATGTGGCTTGCCTCTCTATTTTCCCTTCAAAATCATCTTTTTTTTTCGCCATTACTTTGTATCATTTCTGAAGCCTATATGTCGCGATCCTTGTCGCACCCCAATTGACCCCCCTTGAGGGTCGATCACAATGTGATAGAGACGGACAATTCGGTCAGATTAATTTCTCACGAGCACTTGGTGGCATAATGAAGACCCAGTGGGTGATGCATTAGTCTAAATAAATCATTGTAAACACACATAATACATTTCATTTCATTTCATTGACATTCATATACTTGGAAGCATGGAAAGTCATGTCATCAAATTATATATATCCATATAAAGTTGCTAAATTTAACATAAGCACACACCCAGAAGTTTGTATAAGCTTTCAAAACTCTAATGCAGAAGTTGTACAAGTTACACCCGGTTATTCACCCTGACGCTCCTTACCCTTTCCTGAAAATCAACAATGTAGAGTGAGCTGCAACAAACTCAACAAAATAATCAAAACTAAAATAAGATGTTATAGATGAAAAATAAACAATATCCATGCTCTTATGTAACTTATGTACATGTCCACAACACATATCCCAACATGCTATAATTGTATAAAACATGTAAAATGAAAGACATGTAACACAGAGAATCATGACTGTTGTATAAAATGTATATTTTATCCATGTGTAGTCATAAACATATTCACAAGTCATCAATCAATTCATATGAATGTCACTTATAATTCAATATGCCTCAAATATTTACATGTCATCTCATGATTCATTATATAGTATGAAGATTACATTAACTATTGATAAAGATTAAACTACTCTCAATATAACAACTATCAATAGCCTCCATGATACCATTTGTTCCCTACACTTCGTCCCCATGATCTCAATTGCTCCCGGAGTTTCATCTTCTTTTGAATGTCAAGAGTCCAAAATATTATCGCTCTCTATATCTTGCACTTGCAAGTATTCATGTAATAGCCTATGTATAACATCACTTGCGACACTTCTTAATTCATAATTTATGTAACACACATTAATCATAGATATTTCATATATCATATGCTAGAATCATAATAAATAAATACCCATAAGCAATAATTTCATAAATATATTCCTTAGATGTAAGAGACAAATTAAGTTTGTATTCAATGCAGGTTTTTGTCCACAATATGCGTAAAATTTTAAATGCAATAGTGTCAAATATAATAACATGGAAATCTATAAAGAGTTATTTTTCTTAGATGAACATGTGATTATTTCACCTGAAATGAGGGAACAACCCTATGTTGATTTTCTCCACTTTTGTATTGAGCTCTCCGCTTAGTGTAAACAACCTGAAATTTGTAATCCTTTACGAATTCATGAAATTTGTAATTGAGATTTTCATTCGTAATCCCAAATATGATTTCTCGCTTTAACTTACCTCGAAAGAGCTTCCCGACATAAATATGCCTCACCGAGACTTTCTATTCCGCCCCTCTTTTTTCTTTCCCCTCAAACCTTCCCCAACTCGTTAAGTGGACCTAGCAGAGAGCATAGCTTTAGGTTTGACAGTCCCTTGGTTGTTCCCTCAACGCTGCAACAATAGGAAACACATAATACTTTAGCAATGTCAAAACAAAAAAATGTATGGAAGGAAATGGATGTTCCAATCTTACCAAATTTGCCCTGTAACCTTAAATCAAGAGCTGTGGCTCTCTATCGTCCGCATAGACCGCACTTGCTACATTGCACGATCACAGGCAACTCCAAAATGCACAAAATGAAGTGAGGGAGGATAGGAATGCAATATTTAGCTCACTCCAAAAAAAAAAAATCCTAACCATTCGATCTCATCTCAGTCGTAGCATGCACGGTTTAGTGCGGGAGAGGATCGGTTGGGAACAGTGAACATGATTAGGGAAAATGATTAAGATTAGTAAATGTATTAATTAGGTTAATACTTCAACAATTTATATCTCTCCATACAATTATAATTCATGCTAATTTAATATAGCAAATTGATCGATTCAACATTTAAAAAGTTTATAAAATTGCTTCGGTTAAATTTTAGGTAATGCTAAATTTGAGATATATTTTAAAACTGTCAAAATTTTTCCTTTTTTTAAAATCAGGTGTTATAATTCCATCACTAATTTGAAGCAAGATTGCTTTTTGGTCCGATCACAGTCAGCTGGCCTGAATTGAGACTTTTCTATGATTCGGGTAAGGCACAATCTTTCTAGATAACCCAAAATCATTATTGTACCGTGAACTTAGGTCAGAAACGTGATTTTGTCTGTCATGATCCCATATGTTGGCTTCCTCATATAGCTTGAGTCGCTACTTTTTTGCAAGATTTGGTCGTCCGATCCTCTTGTATGCCGTGCACACGAATTACAACTGTATTGCTTCCTAATTCATCAAGTGGCACGATCGTGTCACTCTGTAAGTCGCAATCCGGTACATTGCTTCCCAATGTGCTCTAATCGCGATTATATATGATTGTTGACATCCGAGGGAGCTCCAATTGCGATGGTATCGCACGTCACAATCTCATCGTTGTTTCCCTTATAGCGGCACCATCCCGTTGTTCCTTCTTCACTAGCTCGATATATTCTTCTTCTTCCCCGAAGAGCCATATCTCTTATGTTAGCCGATTTTCCTTCTTTTTCCCAAATCAATGCTTTGATATCAATTTGATTGGATTCGACATAGATTTCCCATAGAAATCAGGGCAACAAATAATTTTTTTCACGAACATCAAACAACACAATCCAAATACATTAAGATAATCACTGTCAGCCGTTTTAATTTTAAAAAAATATGAAAATAGTTTTGATATAAATATGATTTTTGAAAATAATATTTTGATTTTAAAAATAGATGAGAATAAATGGGTCTCACATTTTGAATAGTTTGGATGACTAAACACGATACCACAAGTAATACACTTATCCCGAAGAATAAACATATCACTTGTAGTAGACCCAATCAACTAAATTAAAGAATTTTTGACATTCGTTTAGTCTGTGAAATATTTTATATGAGGCAAACAAGTTCCTTTATCTAATATAAAGATTAGATAGAGTTTATTTTACTTGGGTTCCAAGTTCTCTATAGAGACAAACCCTTATAGTTAATTAAATCTTAAATGACTTGGGTCACTTAAGAAAACTTTCGATTAAGATCAGTGGTTTTGCCTTTAAGATTTCAAAGTATAGGTTTCCACAGTTGGACTTGAGAAAATCAAACGGGAGTGACTCAAATAGGAACAGTTATTTTAAGGAATCCAAAAGAATGAAAAATAGGGGATATCACAGATCCAGGGAGAACCCTGGTGACCTCCCAACTATCCTATTGTTTGGTTTTATGTCTTTGGAATGACGTTATTTAATATTTTAATCCTGCAATTTATTTAGAAGTTATGATTTTTATTCGCATGATATCTGATCGTGTAAATAGCCTAAAAAGATAGGAAGATTTATATCGTACCGTATTGTAACGTCAGAATCCTAAAGTGTTAGGACTTATAATTGCGCAACAGGGTGCAAAAGCTTAAAAGTGATATATGAGGGTTTACGTTGCGCTAGGCAAACCACCTCGAACTCCTATGAGTTGTTATTTAAATTAAAGAAAGTGATCGGTGTTATGAAGGTGTTTTGATATTCCATCTTGAAGTTGTTCCTCGTCGTGCTGTCCACAGTGATTGCTCTAAGCTCATTGTCGTAGCAACTTCAGGTTTGATTTTAATCCTATGTAACCATTAGGTTTTCCTATACTAAGATATAGTGTATATCAAAACAAATAAAGCATGCGGTATAA